TATATTTCCGACTACTGCATATCACCGCGAATATTCCCCGAGTATTACGTCACTTCACGTAAAACGGGTTGTGAAACTCCAATATATATGAAAATTATTTCTTTTTAAATTTACATGAAAATTACGAAGAAAGTTAACATGAGTGATTCGCTCACATATGAGCATAAAAACTAAAATTTTCAAATAATAAAAACTCCCAAAGTGCATCAGTGTATTACCGCATAGTTGTCGTTGCCTGTTTCCGGATTGATATTGAATCGGACCATCACAACTGATAAAAATATATACTGAAGTTGTCCACATCTTTCTGCGTCTTCGATTGTAAAAAGCGCTCGCCATTATAATCGATTTTCTTCTGCTGAATTGCCTTACAGTCTTCGGCTATTCAAACGTCCACTGAAATGGAGTTTTAATATTGGTTAAATTTTACCGAGTAATCACCTCAAATAGAGGTGGATTTTGGGGTGCTGGTCGATCGAGCTGTGGGGTTATCGTCAGCGTTTTTGGGAGTTTCACAACTCGTTTTACGCGAAGTGGTGAAAAACGCGATATTCGCGGTGATATGCAGTAGTCGTGGAACATGTTTTTCACTAGTGTTTTTCATATTACTAGGGTGAAACTCCAATATTATATTTATACTACCGCTGTTGGGTTCATGTAGTTCATTAGTATATTAATTTCTCCATTTTGTATAGATGAGTCGGGCGAAGCGGAGCGTTGACTGTTAAGTAATTATGAATCATAATTTATGATTGATTTCGTTTAAGTGTGTGTTACGTGAAAGTCTTATATAATGGAGTTTCACCCGTTTTACGTGAAGTGGCGTAAAACTGTGTGAAAAACGCGAAATATGTGTTTCACTAGTGTTTTTCATATCACTAGGGTGGAACTCGAATATTGGCTCTGAAAATTGTCAGAATAATTGAATTATTTCCCCTCATCACAATGTCCGACAGCCCTGCTGAAAATCATAACGGTGAGCAACAAGAACAACACGAGAACAAGGAGCAAGGAGAGCAGCCTCAGAGTCTGCAGTTGAAGGTAATCTCATTTCGAATTTTCAAAATTTTCTCCATTGTTATCAAACTCTGGAGAATGTTATTTCTCAAAACTAGTTAGTATATTCAGTTTATTGGAGTTTCACAGCCCGTTTTACGTGGAGTGGCGTAAAACTCCGTGAAAAACGCGATATTCGTGGTGATATGCAGTAGTCGTGATATGTGTTTTTCATATCACTAGGGTGAATCTCTATTGCAGGTTAAGAATGCCGAGGGGAAAGAAGTGATGTTCAAGTTAAAACGTGGAACTCCTTTACGCAAGGTAATATGAATCGACTGCTTTCGTGTTGGAGGAATATGTGTTTGCTTTCCTCAACTGAGCTCAGTAATTGTAGAATGTCATATATGAATTTGGGTCAACATGAAATTTCTTCAAAATTTTCATCCTTGTGTATATTCCCCCCCCACTGATATGATTGGTCAGTTGATGGACGCCTACTGTACGAGGGAAGGACTGCCTTCTGACGGTGTGAGGTTCCTCTATGATGGTGAGAGAATTAATCGTGATAACACTCCTCAGGAGTTGGATATGCAGGATCAGGATGAGATTGATGTACGGTATTGCACTTCATATCCGAATGACGCTGCTCGTCCTCAGGCTCTTGTGGAGCAGACAGGTGGTTGCAGTCTCTTGTAAGTGATTGAGTTGCCGTCCAAATCGAAGCGGCATTCTGACTTGATAACATATGTTGTGTTAATGAGGTTCGGGACAGAGTAAATTGTACTTGCAACTGTAGCAAG